GACAGACAGGTAGGGACAGACAGGTAGAGACAGACAGGTAGAGACAGACAGGTATACTCACACTTATTTGGTAAAAACAGAACCAGGCACAGAGCTGACTACATCATTTTCAGGTCATTGTGCTAAGCTAGGCTAACAGGGTGTCAGGGTTGGACTCACCCCTGAAACAGGAACAGGTTGAGGTAGTTGTGACTCTTTGTCAGGAAGTTTCCCAGAACTCGTGTTGGGTATCCAGATCGAATCTGATAGGCCGACAGACCAAAGTATACGCACTTCACAAAGTACCAGAGCTGAGCCACCAGGTTCTGATTGAAACGTCTGGAGACGAGAACAGAAACAACACCGATGTTCACGTTTGTGTTCGTAAAACTGAGACAGAATTATCCACTTCAAACAGATCAGAGCGCACTTTCATCTTGGTTTAACTTCATTGATTAATCAACTCAGTTTAACTTTAGTTCTGTTGTTAATGCAGTTAACTGAACAGCTGTTTGTTAACTAGTGTCAGATATGGGTTAGTTACCTCTCGGTGACAGTCGGCAGGATGAAGAACATCCAGAAGTGGATCCCGAAAACCAGAATCACCTGAAACACTAACTTCCCCAAAACTGTCTTCCTCAAATACAGAGCCCTGTCTATCACCATGGTCCCTGCAGACAGACAGACAGACAGACAGACAGTAAGTAAGACATTGAGACAGACAGATGGACACGGGGACAGTGGACATACCAAACTGGATCAACACCATCACCAAGAATGCTTCAGGAACCTGATCTTCTGAGAGGGAGGAAGTGATGTCAGCAGCCGCCGAGTGTTTCTACGAATCATTAGAATCAAAGAAAAGTGAGTAAAGTTTCAGCTCAGATTGAAATATTGTTCGTAAACATGGTTAATGAAACAAACTTTACTCCAAAGGCCCAGAAGCCAAAGACGATGATGATGAAGTCAACTGTGTCTGCGAGGAACATGAGGACGTAAACATCTGTGACGGCGCTGTATTCTGGTTGGACGAGAGCTCTGAAGAACTGACAGACTGGACGGTAAACTGACATACACCTGAGAGAGGGAGTGACCTTGTTGAGTGTTTTGTCAACACAAAACAAAGACAGGACAGTTAATGTCAGTGTTAGCATACCTGCTAACAGAGAACTCCTTGACTCTGATGGAAACTTCTCTGAGTTTCTGCAGCAGCAGATCGAACCTGCCGAAGTGCTGAGGTCTGGAACTCACACTGCCTGAAAACACAGCAGCTGATTTTCATTCTCTTCATATTTAACAGTCAAATATTATTTCATTTTAATTTTCAAAGTCACTTATGCTCTTTCCTTTAACTGTGGATATAAGAAATTGTCTTTGAATCTTGACTCAGTGGCTCAGGATATTTTTAGTTTTACTTCAACATATATATAACGGAGAGCACTTTGTGCAAGCCATGGTAAGATTACAGTATGGTGTTCCTCAGGGCTTCATCTTCAGTTATTTCTGATGTTCAGAAATGATCCACTCATTGGTGAAAATATCAGACAACCCCGATCATGAGACGACATCCCTAGAATATTTGATCAGAGTGATGGGACCTTTAGCTGCTGCTAAACGTCTGGAACTACCCGTCTGGAACTAGAATCTTCAAACGTTTGAAATCCGATGGTTTCAGACTCTTTCCTCTGTCCTGAAACGTTCATTCATTGCTGTTGTTTTTAGGTGTATTGGATTCTACCTGCAGGAGAGCGCAACTGGGTGGAGCTGGAGCGTGTTCGTCTCCTGCCTCGCCGTCGGAGTGTGATGGGGGGGTCAACCACGTCGCTGGAGGAGGCACAGTCGGCAGAGTCAGTCTGGTTGTTGTGGTGACGGAGAGTGTCGGCTTCCATGCTAACAGTCTGATCCCAGAGTCCGTGGCACTGTGGAGGAGGAGTCAGCTGTTACAGTTCTTTTACTTTCTTCTCAATTTTCTTTTCAATTTTTACCTGGAGTTCGGTTCTGCGGTAGAATAACTTGTGATTTTTACCTTGAGTGTGGCTCTGTGGTAGAATAACGTGAGCAGCTGCAGTAGGTCGTACAAGACGTATCCTTCCTTCTTCTCCACTCCCAGGATGTTTGGGGGGTGGAACGGTTTGGACCGGTCCACCTCCAGCTTCTGGTTAAATGGGAAGAAACCGAACTGGAAGAAATACTTGATGACGATGGTAACCTGAGGACACAGACACACAACCAGATATATAGTAGAACCAGTTATATATATTTATAAACTATTAATATTCAAAAATTAAAGAAAGAAAGAAAAAAACAGACCTCAGTGTAGATGATGGCCGTCATCCAGAAGGTCTTACTGGGTCGAGGGACCGATAGCATTGCCCAGAGAAACACCAGAACAGGAAGTACTAATGTCAGACAGCTGGCGGACACCATGTGGTTCAAAACGATGACCAGGTAACACACAGTCTCCGACCTGCCGGTGAGTGGAACCCATGTTTAGAGTCTGAGGAACCAATTCACTTCTGACAACCTGCTTGTTTCAGTATTAAGAGTTTTAAAGTTTGTTGAATTTCAAAGATAGACGTCTCACAGAGAATGAGTTTGTGTCATCAGGGGACACTGAATGTGAAGGAGAGTATTGTCTGCATAGAGAGAAAACTGAGCCGAGGTAGTTCGATGCAGAGCTTCTGTGGCGGTGCCTGTCGTACAGTTTACCTGGCTGCCAGGATGTTGTAGAGGGCATAGCCCAACTGGAGCAGTTGAGGCTGGTTTCCATAGAAACGGTCTGACGCCTCCAGCTCGTCATCATAGAAAGTCCTGAAACACAGAAGACAGAGTTGAGCTACAGCAGGTGTCAGGTGACTGATCTCTTTGACTCTCCTGTCCTCACCTGTTCCTCAGCAGCTCGCTTGCTGTCAGCTCCTGAGTGCGAGATGTCAGTGGACAGGAAGTGGAGGCGGAGTCAAACAGAAAGTCATTGGTTTCCCTGGGAGTCAGCAGCCACTTCCTAAATCCTGACTCCGCCTCCCCCCTCCTGCTCCTCTTTCCATCCTCCCTCGTCTCCCTCACCTCCTCCTCCTGGAGGTCGAGCCCAATTGCAAGGCTGTAGGATGGGGGGAGGAGGAGGGAGGAGGTGCTGGTGAAGGTGTGTGTTGGGCGTGTGTCAACAGGAAGTGGCTGGTTCCAATCTTCACAACTGTTAAAACAGACAGAGAGAGGCGCTTGATACAACCCCCACAGAATCACAACACTGACTCCTATTGATCAATACATCAATATGAATTCCTGAAGTCGCTCCAGCAACCCACCTGTGAGTGCGACTGATCTGTTCTTCCTCTGATGATAAAGACAACAGAGACCGGACCCTCTCCATCCTGGACAGTTTGGGTCGTGATCTTTGGCTGGTTTTAGCCACAATGCATTCTGGGACATCTTCTGATGGGACTGTTGTTGGTTCTTCTCCTGGTTCATTTGGTCCATGTGCTTCTGGTTCTGCTTCAGGTGGACTTGTGGTCTGTAGTCCACCTGGATCATCTTCATATCCTGTTTCAGGATGTGGGTCTGAACCAGCTGATCCTGGTTCTGGATCTTGTTCAGAATGTGGATCATCCTCATTGTCTGAGTCTGTTTTGGGTTTCTCTTCTTTCTCAATGGTTGTTTGACCTCCAGCTTCTTCTTCATCTGTATCAGGACTTTCTCCCTCTTCATCTCCTCCCCCCTCTCTTCCTCTCACTGCTGCATCATGGGAACTGCAGTCCAGACCCGACTCTCTGGATGTTTTCATCATCTGCTCTTCGTAGTAAACGTTGATCGCCTCTCTAGTGGGCAAGTTACCCTGATCAACCAAACAAATAGGAGAGAAAAATAAACATTGAAGCAGGTCCTCCATCTTTGTTGTAGTTCACAGCTCACCCCCCAGTACGGAGTGTAGTCCTGGGTGTGTACCTGTTTGGCCTGTTGTGTTAGCATGCAGTGCTCGATGCGGAGGACGGTGGAGATGTCAACGTGTTCCTGACACAAACCGCTGAGCCAGGCAGTCAGAGAGTCCAGCAGAGCCGACAGCAGAACCCAACAGAACCGCAGTGTGTTGGAGAGCCGATGCAACACTGTGTCTGAAACACATCACCTCATCGTTCACCGACCAACACATATAAAGCAACAGTTTCAGGTGAGTAAATATAACATCTGCTACCTGTACCCTCCTCTTTCTCCTCTTCCTCTGCACCATCCTCCGTCTCCTCCGTCACTTCTATGACTCCAGCTGCTGAGGAGGAGGAGTCAGAGTCATTGGTTTAGGTAACAACTCTATGCAGATGACACACAACACTTCAACTCACTCTCTTGTTCACATAAATACGTTGGTTTTGTGATGAAGTACAAATGAAAAGAAACTTGATTATACTTTTTTGGTTTTTATACATTTCTCATGTGACGTTTTTTTCAGATATATCATTACTGAATGTTTAATGCTGGGTGGACCATTTATCCTCCTCCTCCTCACCTCCTTTCTTCTCCTCCTTCCTGCTCCTTCGTTCAGAGGAATTCTTCTCCCACAGTTTCCTCTGGTTGTTTCGAGCTCTCATTGCTGTTCTGGAATCTGTTATCCAGGCGTGGTAAACAAACTAATGGAAACAAAGATCATCATCACATCTTGTAAATGATTTGTTGGTCTTAAGTGAACTCGCGGATTCATTGGGTTAATTTAAGACCCACCCCTCAGAATGTTGCGTTTGACTTGTCGTGTTCTTGAGTTTGTATCGTTGTGGTGTTAATACAGATTATTATTATTATTATTATTATTATCTTATCCAATCCTTTTCAGCAGAATCAGTTTGGTCTGTCTAAACAATACCATCTGCCTGATTGTGGCTCATTTGCGCCCTCTATCTTTCGTCACAGGTATATGTGGTCATCATGGAGTCCAACCTGGAAGGCTGATTTCTCAGGCTCCGCCTCCTTTTTCTCATCCACCTTCTTTTCTTCATCCTCCTCTTCCTCACTGTCAGTCTCAAACAGGTAGTAGTCCCCACTCCTAACCACTGCAGACAGACGGGTACAGAAATATAACATGTCAGAGCTTCACTGTGTTCAGTGTCTTCATATTATGTCTGTTATTATTTGGTTTGATGCCAATAAAGTTGAATTGAATAAAAACATGGGTGTGAATGGTGATGGTGTCAAAGGTCATGTGACTCACTGGAGGCGTGGTTTACCCAGGGCCTCCACCAGTTCTTCTGTTTCTGACCCTTCTTGTTTTCTTGACCTACAAATCAAACACAACAGCTGATTCTGTGATTGACAGCTGTGTCTGTCTGTTACCATGACAACAGATGATGATTGTTTACAGACCGTCAGTGTGGCAGCTGTCCTGAGTTAAACTCAACATTTTCTCTTTTCCTCTGCGAAACTTCTGCTGTCGGGACTTGATCCTTTCCATCCTGATGGAAACAGACAGGAAGTAGTTCAGATCAGACCGAAACTGGTTCGTGATGTTTTGACTGGTTCTCTGTGTTTTG